GCTTGCCAATATACAGTGTTGAGCTGCTCTGATTTGGCAATGATTCTGTGTAATAGTCCATTCAGATAGAGCTAGGAGGAAGCAAAAGTTTTACGCAGAAAGCAGAACATAGCTCTGTGTTCTGGGTTCATCAACATATCGATGAATAGGGAAGGATAACTCCAGGTCAAAAACTCCTTGTTCTCGTAATTGCTATTCATTGGTGCGTCACTTTCAAACCAAGAAAGCCAGAACAGAGAGGCCATTGGCTCTCGAAGTCCAGCGGCCAAGCCTGATCTTTCTGTTCTGAGGTCAGAATGAGGTACATTCTTCATCCAAGTGGAGACAGTCAGATACAAGTGAAGCAGAAAGATGTGGGAGGCTTGACGTTAAAAAAGGCAGTGCTGGGAGACCTGATGAGAGGAAAGGCTCTTGTCAGATATTCCTGAGTACTGGGTAACTCCCCAGGTTATGTATATTATAGACACCAAATCAGTACATGGGCAGTTACAAAAATTCTTCACTGAACATAGAATTTTATAACATGACATTAAAACGCTTCTTACTTAGGGTTACCATTGCTGTGATGAATGAAACACCATGACAAAAAGCAAGTAGAGGGTTTATTTGTCTGAGGATTTCACATCACTGTTCATCACGGAAGGAAATCAGGATATGAGCTCAAACAGAACAGGAGCTGGAGGCAGGTGCTGATGCCATGCAGGGGAGACGCTTACTGGCTTCTTCTTTACGGCTTGTCCAGTCTGCTTTCTTGACTGAATCCAGGCCCACCCTGGAGTGGCACCACCCACCATGGGCTGTGCCCTTTCCTATCAGACGCTAATTAAGAAGATTCCCTGCAGACTTGCCTACAGCCCCGTCTTATGGAGGCACTTTCTCAGTGTGAGTTCCCTGCTCTCAGATGACTCTAGGTTGTATCAAGTTGACATAAAATTAGACAGCCCAGAAACATAAGTTACCTTAAACCCCACTTCAGAAGTAGCATAAATTCCTAGGGGGGGACCCACTGTCTGGGGACAAACCCTTCAGACACCCCTGCCATTTATCTATAACCTCATTGGAACAATACTATATACATTGTCCAGCAATTCCCTTAAAGCACATGAGAGCTTGCTTTTGACACCTTGATTTGTGCTTAGTTTTGATAAAAAACAATAAAGAAAATGAGACTTAAAAGAAAAATCTCCCAAGAATACTGGCACTCTAGCCTGGGGGCCAGGGTTTTCCCACTGTGTCATGTTCCCAGGGCACATTCATGCAACTGTGCACTCCATTTTTCCCCTTCACACATTTCCAGTCTGGCTCTCTTGTTTCATTCACATCACTTTATTGATTTGGAGACCAAGTCTTCATCCTGATGTTCATTCAGCTTCATTGGAGTCGGAGCTGCCTGGGCTTGAGAGACAAGGGGGTTGGAGAAGCTGCTTGGGATCTTAAGGGGTTCACTGGGAGAGCAGAGGCAGGCAGACGCTAGGACCTGAGCAGAGCTTACTTCTGAGGTGGGTCACACAGCATCTTTTGATTTGCTTAAAACAGATGGCTGAGTCCCTGATGTTCAACTGGCAACTTGATTTTGCATTTGCCAGTTTATTCCGGGCACCGTTCCTTGCACCGGACTTAAATCAGAATTATTTCCATCAGTTTAACGGAGCAGGAGCTGATCTGTGTGCAGAAGCGGGTCCCACTAATGCTGCAAGAGGCAGACAAAACGGCTCTCCCGCTCTACAGCCCCCTTCAACGTCTCAGGAGAGCTAGCGGATGTTCTACAACATTCTTTATGCCATAATAGTTTATCCTCTAAAGTATTTCAGAGGGAAGGGAGCCCCCAAATTAGGGGCCTTTTCCCCAGACTAAAGTCCTTACCCTTTAATCCCTTGCTTGGTGTCTTGTGGCAACAGGCATGCCTTGCCTGGAAGAGCCCTTGCTGGTTGGCAAGCAGACCCCGTGTTCCCTTCGGTTTTATGTGGTTTGTTCATACAAAGTGCTGGTGAATAGAAATCTACTTGGGAACTGAGGGATTTGTGGGGAAATTATGGGGGATGAGAGGGTGTGAGAACTATTCAGGAGGACTCAGGTTGCTGGAGAAAATTCTGCATCCTGCTAACAATGCCGACACCAGCCAGTTCCTCCCACTTCAAGCCCTGTGCTTCCTCCTAAACAAGGGTCTACCCGGGTTTCCTTTTACAAACTTAAAGAACAGGTAAAATGGGGAGTTGGAGTTAAGCCATTTTCTTTCAATGACCCAGCCTGTAGTAACAGGGAATGGAATTCAAATTTCCCAGCGGTAATCTTTGGCCTTGCTCTTGAAGCAACCTGCCAGATTTCCGTTGTAGTGGACAGAGGGTCTCTTAAAGAACTGGTAAAGAGACCGTTCTACTAGAAGCCCAACCCACGTCAGTCTGTGATGCCCCGAGGAAGACACCACAGCAAAAAGCAGCTTCTGCTGGGCCCAGCATTACCAAAAACAAATAAATTCAAATAAAATGAAAAAAAAAATCTTGCCTTACCCAACTGGGTGGAATATCATACTCAATTTTCTACCAGAGTTTCTCAGCCCTTTCATTATTACAATGATTGATATTTTGGGCTGGATAACTGTTGTGGGACTGTTCCCAGGCCTCTATCAACCTGATGCTAGCTCCTTCTCTCCAACTCTTATGTGACATTGTCAAATGCTTTCTGGGAAGCAGGACAACTCATAACATCGATGAAGCCAAGGTTACCAAGGCTACTCTTTCCTCTGGCCACGTGAGCAGTGAGGCTGGGGTTAGAGAGGGGAAAGAAAAAGGATGAAATCAGCCCATATTTTGATATTTTCCTTTGAAGAAAATCTTAAATGTATTTAGGGGGAAGAGTATACATTATACTTTCATGTATAATACTGACTAACCCTTTGCTTGTAATATTTGGAAGAGGTTTGCTAGTCCTGTGGCCGAAATTTTATACTAGTGGAGTGGAATATACCTCAGGTCTCTCTAGTGACACAAACAGGAATAATTCTAAGCCACCTCAAGCAAAGGTGACTGCACACACATTTTTGTCCTGTGTTCATTCTATTCATCTTGGGAAACGGAGGCTGTTGCTAGGCCTTGGTGGGTGGTGGTGGAGATAGGACCACAGAGTCAGAGGCGAGACTGGTGGGTGAGATCAGGTCTGTCAACATAAACAAATGTCAGGTACACAACAGAGCCATGATTTTAAAAGCTGAGTCGACATGGGGTGACTTTATTTTTTTGAAACTGGGTAATTTTAGTGACAAAGAGTCCCTTACATTGCAGGCAATTTTCTGGCCAATCATTTAGCAAAAATCAATAGCTATGAACATTTGTTTTCTTGATGCAAACCTTAATAATGTAGGTGAGGGCTTATTGGAACAAGTTATACAGGCAATTAAAATGACTGCAATTCAGTGTATGAGCTGTGTAGTCTAGCTTTGTGTTTTTTTTCTTAAATCCTTCATTCCTTTGAGAAGGAAAACATCCTTTTTCATGGTTGTCATGGTTAACGTTAATTAAATTTGCCGTGAATCATATCCTTAACCCTTTAAGCTCCCAAATTCATTCGCCTGTAACATTCACAAGAGGTAGTGCAGTGATTTTCTGAAATCCAAAGCTTCCTTTGCTCAAATACTAATTCCCCGAGTGTGTGTATTTTAGAGATGTTTTGAAGGGAATGCTCTGAGATGGCCAGAAGAGTGGCCAGAGATGAAACTAACCCACCCATCACCGTTCTCTCTGCTCCTACTGAATCTCTCCCATCCGCGAGTGCATGTGTTCACAGGTGTGGTACTGAGGACTGAAGTCAGGGCCCCCAGCATCCCAGGGAAGTATTCCAGAATTGAGCCACACCCTTGGCCTACTCTTCTTTTCCTTTGTTTATATTTTTTCCTTATTCAAAACGGGGTGAACAACTAAATCTAATCGGAGACAGCATCAAGGAGACTTGCAATCCTGTTTATCAGCATAAGCTTTTGCCTTCTGTTTCCATGGTAACCAGTGATCTGTAGCCCAGTCACACCTTTAGAAGGCTTGTTTTCTCTCTCCATCCTAAAACCCTAGCCAGAAGCACCAAAGGTGTTGAACAATAATTTTCTTATCTGTTATTTTCAAAAAAAAAATTAAACATGAGGCTACATACAGGAAGACAATACCTACAGGCTTATCCTGCAGACACAGTAGAACTGTCTATTAATTTGAAGATGATCCCTGGGATAAAAAGTACCCGAATTCTAAGTGAGGGATGTCACGCCGTGTAACACCCACCCACCCCAACTCAGCTCCACATACTACTTAGCTCCTTTAGCAAAGAGTAACTACCATGCATTATAAACATTCATCTCGTTAACAGAGTGAAACAGAGGCTGGCTTTAAGAACTTTAAAAGTGACTCATCGACTGGCTTTCTTTCTGGTATGGTTTTTGCCTCCAGAGGACATTTGGCCATATCTGGAAACAGTTTTGGTTGTCATAATTGGTTCTCGTGTGGGAGCTACAGCACCTCAAATAGGGCTAGCGTCATAGGTAGTATACTGACATAAGGGAAAAATGCTCAATTGAATAAATCTCATTTGTGATCTGATTTCCTGTTCTTGTACTGTTTGATTTCTTAATTAGTTTAAGCAGGGGGAAGATGGGAGGGGGAGAGGAGAGAGGTTGAAAGAAAGATCTATCTATCTATCTATCTATCTATCTATCTATCTATCTATCATCTATCTATATATCTCTCTATCTATCTATCTATCTATCAATCTATCTATCGAGACAGAAGGAAGGAGGGAAGAGGGGGCTGGGGATGGGGAGAAGTAGGAGAGGGGGAAGAATAGGAGAAGGAGGAGAGGAGAAGGAGGAGGAGGAGAATCAGCCACCACAAAATATTTTCAACTTTCCCCCATCACTCTTTGGTTAAGATCTGATACTTCTATTGCCAATCTTATTAAGGTTCTATTCTGTCAAGGAAGACTTATCTTTCCTAGGTGAAACGCTGACAGCAGCAGGCGCTTACCTTTGGCGTTTGTCTCTATAAATATGGTTATGTTTTGCCATCGCGACCGTGGAGGATAAGATCCTTCTGAATTCGTGTTCCTCTCATGAGGGTAGATCCAACCAAGAGGACAGCAAGCATTTCCATTGCCCCTCTTCGTTTGGGACGAAGCAGAACAAGCAAGCAATCCTGACACAGCCAGAGGGCGCCAAAGTGCCGCGAACGGAAGTTCCAGGGCTCCATGGCTTTTGGCATGGTAAAATTGGCTTTTGTCTGAAAAGCCTCGGTTCTAAAAGATGTTACCATGTATTATTTTCCAAATTTTAAATTTTATTTTTCATTTTCTTTTTGTCAACAGGTAAGCATGGCGAATATATCTCTCCTAGACTTGGTGGCTATTGTTTATCCCGGGGCTACCCTAAGTGGTCGCCGACCAGGACACGCGGACTTAGCCAGGCTAGCCACAGTCTGGCTCGGTGCGCTTCTGAGCAGCATCTTAAGCAGCCAGAGAACTGGTGACTTCCATGAAAGCACAGACACAAAAAGTCGAAGCCCATTTTCCTAGGGTGCATTTCTTCCTTTCTTCCTCTCCGAAGTCGGGAGAACATTCCCCGAGGGGCGGTGCCGCCCACCCCTCCACCCGGACCAGGGTTCTGGGCGGTGGTTGTCTCGCAAAGCTGCAGCCTCCTGGTTGACCCCGAGGGTGAGCATCTGCCTGGAGACGCCCCAGATGTGCTTGCCTTGGGGGTACACCCTAAAACACGCGCACATCTGTCTTGATGGTTTCAAGGGAAGCTTCGCGTCTCCCCCAGTCTCACTGCCTACGTGATAGCAGAATCTCAGCCCGACGTCTGGAACTGGCTGGACTGGGGCGCAGAGAAAGCTGGCTGCGGTGGGGGCGTACTTCATCAGTCCCTTAAGTCTGAGCCAGAGCCTGAGCTACTTATTCAATGCTTTCAAATAAAATGTGTGTGAGACACAGAGAGAAGAAATCTACAGACAGTATCTCCGTGGGTGGGAGGATGGAGGGGCGTGCAAGAAGGGGATAGGAGGGGGGACTAGCAGAAACTGTTGGGGAGGCAGGCAAGGCACAGGACTGGAGGGGAGGGATCTGGATGAGGGTAGCAGAGGGTGGGGGTGACTGTGAGGGTGTGGTGACGGGGGGGCGCTGGATCACGGGGCGTCTCGGGACACAGGGGCTACAGGAGGAGAGAAGTTGGGGACCCCCGGGTAGCGGGGCGCAAAAGGAGCTGG